TTTCAAGAGCCAGAGGTAGCAGAGAACTGCTATAGAACAATTTTTTCCATACATAAGAGAATTTATACCTGGTATAATAAACCTTGTCAAAAACCCATTGTTGGGAAGTTTTAGGATCTAAGGTAGTGGTTCCCAACCTTCCTTTTGCTCCAACCCTTTAATACAGTTCCTCATGTTGTGGTTACCTCAAACCATAACATTTCACTGCTACTCCATAAATGTAATTTTACTGTTATGAATTATAATGTAAGTATCTCATAAAATGCAAAGTATCTGATATGAGCCCTGTTGGGTTCAAGACCTTACTACTGTTGTTAAGCAAAACAACAGTAATAACCACAGACAATTTTTCAGTTTATACCCACAGACAAATGCTCTTTTTAGCCTTAGAGAAGGTTCTCTTTGCAATGAACAGAGGTAAACAAAGAAACTGACAGCTGCTCAAGTTTCTGAGAATAAGCGATAGTTGAGTGTCCAACCCTGAATAGAACCTTTGTTACCATCTCTTCTAAATCTCAAGGAACAGTGTAGAATTGAAGCAGAAAAAAAATATAAGAAGCAGAAGTAGGGGTAAGGACTATGGGACTATCTTCCAGGCATGACTCCACCATTGCAATAATGATCTCACAGTAGGGGACAGAGTTTCACAGGGCCCTACCTTCCCCTTTGCTGAATTATTGATTACTGATTATGGGGAAAGAATAGTCATTGTCTTCAATGACTATTTTTTACCCACTAAGAAACCCACCAAGCTCCAATAGACAATTCCAAACTAAAGTTCATACTGGTTAAACTTAACAAGTCACAAAACAATAAGGGATGAACATGGGGGAAAGAGTTGAAAGGAGAAGGGAGAGTAGCAGAAATTGGGAGAAGATATTGGAGGAATAGAATAATCAATACATAATATCCATGTATGAAATTGTCAAAGAATAATTTTTATTTTATTTTTTTGAGACAGTGTCTTACTGTACATCCCTGGCTGGTATAAAATTCACTAGATAGACCAGGCTGCCCTCACAGAGACCTGTCTGTCTCTGCCTCCTTAATACTTGGATATACAGGCGTATACTCTGAGCCCTTGTGAAATTTTAATTTTAATGATTTGTTCTTAGGCATAAATGTTCTCCAGATCTTTAACAATTGTACCTGTCCTTTTCTTGATGGAGTCTCATTTCTTTTTTATGTCTTCTATTCATTTTCATTCCCCTCCTTATATAACTGTATATTTGTTTTCATCCTTATTTACTTTCAGAATCGCCTACAGCAGCTTTAACTGGTTCAGTATTAATTTCTGGTTGTGTGTGTTCATGGTTTTTGTTGATTAGTTATTTAGCTGTGAAGTAACCTGCCTTAATTACTTTCCGATTGCCATAGCAAAATACCATGACCAAGGTACATATTAAAAGAAAGCACTTAATTGGGCTTACAGTTTCAGAGTCCATGATGGTGAAGCAAAGACATGGCAGCAGGAACAGATGAGAGCTCACATACTGATCCACAAGTAGCAGACAAGAGAAAAAGACTAGGAGTGATGCTAGTCTTATGAAAACTTAAGGTCTCCCCCACCAATGACATACTTCCTCCAAAAAGACCACACCTATAATCCTTCCCAAACAATCCCATCAACTGAGAACCAAATAAATATTCAAGTGCATGAGTCTATGGGGACCATTCTCATTCAAACTACCACATCACTTTTGAAAGTTTGGCTGTTGACACTGTAGTGTGACCAGTGAACTATGAAAATGTACCTGGAAATTTCTACTGGAATAATTTATGGCATATATCTGTTGGCTTGAGTGTCCTGCACTAACTAGGCAGTAGAGTTTTTATATATTATTTTTTACATATTTTATATATTCTATAATATATGTGACAGGAACAGTTATAAAGAAGAGGCACTGATAGCAATTGGAGAGGAAAGTAGGGCAAGGACAGCACTTTAGTATTTTTCAGAGGTCCTACTTTCAATCCAGAGGGCAAAAGCTTTCTTGTAGTTTTTACTGATTGGAGTGCCAATTATAGGCAATTAGATTTCTGACACAGATAATATTCTAATCCTCTCTGCCGATTTCCAAGGTCCTTTTGTCACTATGTGGATACAGAAACAAGAACCCAATTGATGTGGGCTACCCCTCTGTATGCTGTAAATGTATTATTTTATTACCATTAGTTAAAAAAGAAGTTGCTTTGGCCTATGGCAGGGCAGACTGTAGCTAGGCAGGAAAATTAAACTGAATGATGGGAGAAAGAAGGCAGAGTCAGTTAGACACCATGTATCCACCCAAGATGCAGGATGTGAGGTAATAAACCACAAGCATCATGGTAAAATATAAAATAATAGAAATGGGTTAAGATGTAAGAGTTAGCTAAGAATATGCTTGAGCCATTGGCCAAACAGTGTTAAAATTAATATGGTTTCTGTATGATTATTTGGGTCTGAATGGCCAGGAAACTCAAGTGCAGTCTCGGTTTACACACAATTCCTCATGCACAATATCTGGTATAACTCTGATTTATCTCATTATTTTTCTGGGGATTATTCTTAACCCTGCTGGGGGGTGAGTGACTAAGTAAGGCACTGGAGACATGGTTCAATGATTAAGAGTACTTGTTACTCTTGAAGAGGTTAGAGTTCATTTTCTAGCACCCATATCAGGCAAACCCCTACAGCCTGTAACTCCGGCTCTAAGAGATCTGCCACCCTCTTCCCTCCTTCAAAGATTCCCACACACATATGGCATACACTCACACAGATGTACACACTTAACACATGAATAAAAAAATAAATCATGAAAATATTAATATTAATTTTTTGTGTTTTTGCACGTGTGTATGTGTGTGTGTGTGTGTGTGTACCACATGCATGTTTGGTGACCACAAAAGTCAGAAGGTATCAGATCCTCTGGATCACAGATGTTTGTGATCCACCATGTGAATGATGAAAATCAAACATGGGTCCTTTGCAAGAGGAATCTTAAAACACTAAGCCACTCTAGCCCCACAAATCATTTTGAAAATAGATAAGATAAATAAAAAATAAACAAGCAAGACACGACTAAACCACTGTAGTGTGCTCTTAGGTATGTCTGACAGAATACTGACAATCAACTAGGAATCTGAACCAGTGAAAATAATCTCAAAATGTAGATAGACACACAACTACCACACAATTTTCTTTAATCCACTCAGGTATTTATCAAGTTTCAGACATAGTGCTACAAAGTAAAGCATAGTAGAAAAACCAGGAATGTGAATATTAAGGAGCCTGGAAGAACAGGAAGAGCTGAAGACACTGGATTAAAAATAAAAATTAGAGCATTCAATGACACATGCAAATCAGTGACTATAATCAGGGGACAAAAAACTATGTTCCAAACTGACCTAATATGAATCAGCTCAGTACTATCTGATAGACAGATGGTTCAGTGAGTAAAACCTCCTACCAACAAACCTGGAGCTCCACCTCCATGATCCACATGGTAGGAAAGAACTGAGTCCCACAATTTACCCTTTGACACTGACACCATGATACATATACCTACACACATACACACACACAAAAAATAAAAGTAAAATAAAATATGACAAGTGGTGGTGGCATATACCTTTAATCCAAGCACTAAAGGGGTAGAGGCAGGCCTATTTTTGAGTTTGAGGCCAGCCTGCAGCCTGATCTATAGTATCAGGCCACCTTGAGCTATATAGTAAGACCTTGTCTCAAACCACATCCATCCTCAAAATAAAAATAAGAGAACAAATAACACACCACACTAAATTTTTAAAATTCAGTTACTTAGGGTCTAGGCTACAAGGGTAGCTCAGTAGTTAATTGTTGCTCTTCCAGAAGATCAAGAATTTGGTTGTTAACACCCATACCCAGCAGCTTACAACTACATGTAACTCTAGCTCCAAGGGGTCAAACATCCTCTTTTAGCCTCTGTAAATATCCACACACAAGACATTCATTTATATATTCTCTCTCACACACATATAAAATAATAAACTGGGCATGGTGGTACAAGTCTTTAATGCCAGCACTCAGGAAGCAAGGCAGGCAGATTTTTGAGATGGAGGCCACCCTGGTCTACAGAGCAAGTTCCAGGATAGCCAGGACTACAGAAAAAAACCCTTTCTCAAAAAAAAAAAAAAATTTAGCAATAAAAGTAATAGTGATAATAATAAGAGAGCTGGAGAGATGAACCAGGAGTTAAGTGCTTGTTGCTCTTGCAGAGTTCAGCTTCCAGCACCCATCAGGTGACTTACAATCACCTGTAACTCCAGCTTCAGGTAATCAGATACCTTTGGCTTTGGTGTTACATGTACACAAACCCACACAAAAGTAATTTAAAATAAAATAGCTTTTAAAAATGTAATCAAAAATTAATTTCTCCCATAACAAACTTATACCATGTACTCTACAATAGCTTCCTTTCTTAATATAATAAACAGGTACTCTTGACAAATCTGTGATTTTAAAAGTATACCCCATCTTTTCACCCAAAGTTCTAGGTACTTCTATGTTACCTATTTCTCTCAAGTGGATAACACGTCTAGCTATTTTGGTTTTAATTTTTAGTGCTATGATAAATAAAGACTTAGCTAGTTGCATACATATAGTAAAAAACAAAATGTGATCAAATTTCTTAATGTAGTTTAATCTGTTTATCTAGTTTAATCTCATTTTAACCACTAGAGGGCAAGCTTGTCATTGATTTCTAATCCCTAAACCATTTAACTTTAGAAATACCAATCAATATGACTTAAAATTAAATAGGTTTACTCAGCAACAACCACATTCCAATAGTTGCCAATAAGCAATCACCAACCATACCATTTTATATACAAGAGAATTTTGTAGGTAGGAAAAACACATGGTATCATGAAGGCTGAAAGAATTAGTTCTGCCTTGCTAGGCTAAACAATGAAGAAAATAGATCTAAAATGAGATTATCTGGACCTTCTTGCTACATCTTTTTAAATATTGATAGACTTACGTTTTAAGTGTTCCAGATGTCATTAGTTCAGTCACTAAAACAATGCATTTTTTTCCTTTTACTGTGGATTCCCAGGAATCATAGAATCGAACAATGTTGGGGTGTTGAAGACCCTTTAACATTTCTGCCTCTTCTTTGAATCTCTGCCTTTCAGACTTTGTCAACTTTCGATCCTAAAAGAAAAGAACAAAACAATGTAGTATAAAATGATAACAAACAAGTCACATGACTATATTAAGATGCTAAATAAACTGGGCATGATGGCACAAGGCTGCAATCTCAGCACTAAGGTATCCTCTTAAAGCAGAAGAATGGCTTGAGGCGGAAAGATGGCAAGTTCAAAAACTCGTCTAAAAAGTGTGCTAATTATGTATTTATAATAAATAGCATTAAAATTAAACAGAAACACTAATAACAATCATCTTCATGCCCTAAGTGTCTGATAACAGACTACTGCATACTTAAAGAAATTGGACTATAAAGTGATGCTTGATATTATTTATCATTAGTATCAATATATATCTAAAATATGTCATTTGCTATACTTCCAAAATCAGTTAACAAGCCAAATGGTGGCAGCACATGCCTTAAATCCCAGCACTCAGGAAGCAGAGGCAGGAAGATCTCTGTGAGTTTGAGGCCAGCCTGGTCCACAGAGCTAGTTCCAGAACAGCCAGAGCTATTACACAGAGAAATTCTGTTTCTGTCTCTAAAAACAAAATAATACAAAAAACAAAAAACCACCAAAATCAGTCTCAACAGCTAATTAATCATCATGGAATAGTCATTGGTTTTTGAAGGCAAAAAATAACTACAGTTCTATCTTTGCATTAATTACAACTTTATGACTATACTGCATCACCCAACAAAACTTACGAGAATTAAGCAATCTAGCTAGTATGTTTTCATCATGTGTTTAATGTTCTTGGTGCCTTTACAAAAACCAATTTATTTCCTATCTGAAGTGAAAAATAGAAAAAGGATCCAATTTGTTTTTATACCTTAACAAAGTTCATATACACAATGTGTTGATTGTTCTGTTTTATTAAAATGGAAACTATCTCTAGCCACTCACTCTCACAATACTTTAATGAAGTATTCCCAGCAAAACTAATATGACTTAATATTACAGTATTTTTGTAAAATTAAGTGATTTAATATTACACACCTCATTTATAAAGTCCTCCAAGTAACTTTTGGCCCCTCCTTCCTACTCCTTACCCTTGAATGAACATTATCCAGAATTTAGATATATAAGAATTATATGGTTTTTATATTCTGTAAAAGAAAATTGAACATAACACAATTTATACATTACTTACTCTACTCAGGAATCTTTAGGCACTTTCTCATTTGTTGCTTCTCCAATACAATTAAGGTTTCACTGTTAATCTTTTTGGACTTGTATATATAACTTATATAGGACACTAGATTTTTTTGTTTTATTTAGACAAACTCTCTCTAGATAACTCTGGCTGTTCTGGAACTAGCTTATGTAGTTCAGTCTGTCCTTGAACTCACAAAGATGCACCAACATCTGTCTCCTGAGTGCTGAGATTAACGGCATGGGTCACCAATCCCAGCAGGGCACTGTTTCTTGTAGGATTTACAAACTTTAAGATTTATAAACGTATAGGACTAAAGAGATGGCTCAGCAGTTAAAGAGCAGTTGGCTCATCAGTTAAGAGCCGTTGCTGGTCTTGGAAAGAACCTAGGTTCAGATTCTAACACCAGCATGATAGAGCACAACCATTCATGAGTCCAGTACTAGGGAACCTAACACACCATGTGGAAATCTAACCACATGTTGGTTCACAACCATCTGTAATGAGATCTGGCGCCCTCTTCTGGACTGCAGGCATACATGGAGGTAGAATGTTGTATACATAATAAATTAAAAAAATAAAAAAAAATACTAATACTAAAATGTAATTTCTTTTCTGTTCTTATGTGCTTTTGCTATGCTCTAAATGACTCACACTGAATTCTTAACCTCTAAGATATTAGGAGGTAGGCTCTTTAAGTGTGACTTTATAGGTGGAGGGGATATCCTTCAGGTAACAAGTTAATCTCCTCTGACCCTTCTACCTTGTGAGGATGCAACAAGAACATGATACAAGTTCTCTGTACAAAAAGTAGTCACCATAAATGGAACCTGTTGGCACTTTGACCTTGAGCTTCCCAGTTATCTGAACTGTCAATTTTTTTCTATTATATATAAATTAAAGCCATCTAAGTTTCATTACAGCAGCCTACACAGTCTAGACACAATCTTGCACCTGAAGATTACCACTGCTACACATGCTGAAGAGCACATGTGGTAGTTACCTACCACATATCAACTTTGTCATTTTGGTGAGTGTAAAATCATACTCTCTTGTTTACTTTATCAGTGTCAGTAATATGCTTAAACAACTTCTTTTTACTTTCAGGGAAGGTTTGGTATGTAGGTCCAGATAATTTTGAACTTGCAGTCCTACTTCAGTCTCCCAAATGCTGGGATTATAGATGTGAATCATCAATGCCCACTCTAATAGTTTTTTAAAAATAAAATTTAAGTGTTTGTGTTTAATTCAGGAAAACTGTCAACTTTTCTCTCTCTCTCTCTCTCTAAAATAACCTCCTCCCATCCTTCACTCTCTACAAGATTTTATGTGCAGAAATGCATACATGTGTGCATGTGAGACTTACTTTTATTAGTTTCTCATTATCCATTGCTTTCTTTAGGTTCCTGATTCTCAGATATATCACTATCTTCACTAATTTTCTTTTCAGTTATTACAACACATTCTTGTTTAGTATCTTTTTATTACTACCATTATTAATTAAACTTTATAGCTTAAGGGAGGCAAGGATACAAAAGACATGTGCCAGGTTCTTAGACTCTGCTCCAGATATAAGGGAGAGATGAAGCTAAACCAGATGCCTTCCAAATAAAAATGCAAGTGAATCTGAAATATATATGGGGGAGGGAGCCAATACATGGCCATCCATAAAGAATATAGGTCAGGCTAGGATGGTGGTGGCATGCCTATGATCTTAGCATTCAAGATTGAAAGTATGATGTTAGACTAGGCTAATGATACCCCATTTCCCTCCACACTACAAAATAAACAAATCTCCAAACAAAAGCAGAACAGTTTAACAAGAAAAACTCTAGAGGGTCAAGGAGTCTGCCTCCCAAGTGCTAGGACTAAAAGCATGTGCCACCACCACCCATCTTAGACAAGTATTGTATAACTCTGCCCCAGATATCACAAAAATCTTAAAAGGCAAAATGGGCCGGGTGATGATGGCTACAACTGTTACAAAGAGAAACCCTGTCTCAAAAAAAAAAAAAAAACAAAACACCAAAAACATGCCAAAAAATAGATACATAGGGGTTTTGGAGTCATTAATAATACAGAAGCAGAAAGGCCCACAGAAACAAACTGAATAAGCTGAATGGCTAGCTGCTGCTGTGCCACTTTGGAGATGCCCACCAACAGAAAACAAGGCGTCAGGAAGGTCCTGGCTAGAGCTATCACCCAGCCAAGCACCTAGAAATCCATATATGTAAATGAAAGGGACACTGGAAAACAAAACATCTATTTGCAAGTAAGGGATCAACAATTCCCGCACTGGAAAAGAGAATATTCCAGTTCTGAAACAAGTACAAAGACAAAAAAATCTTGGGAGCTAAAGGGCTGCAGATCCTTACCCATAAATCCAACTTTTAGCAAGCAAAGAAGAAATAATTTTGTAACAATTAACAACTGCTTAAGGCCGTTCTCACTTGCTTTCCAGCTATAAACCTGAAAGTTTCTAGGAATCTCGCCAGAAACCCCATTTACAGAGAAAGGATGAGTACTAAACTCCTTGTGCAACTCTAGTTGTTTCTGGTTTTACCTTATCAGATTATAACTCTGCTCAAGGCATTTACAGAATCATTTTATAATCTGACTTCCCAAGGGAAAACAAACACCACAAAGGTTTTCTAGCAACTTTCTGAGATGTTAACTATTTTGTTTTTGTTTTTGTTTTTTGTTTTTGAGACAGGGTTTCTCTATAGCTTTGGAGCCTGTCCTGGAACTCACTCTGTGGACCAGGCTGGCCTCGAACTCACAGAGCTCCACCTGTCTCTGCCCTCGAGTGCTGAGATTAAAGGTGTGCACCACCACCACCCGGCCCCAATGTAACTTCTGGGCCACCAAACTTTAGTACACAGGACAATTAATTGTGACACTCTTTAAGAAGCCTATATTAGCGGTGGTGCATGCCTTTAATCCCAGCACTTAGGAGGCAGAGGCAGGTGGATCTCTGTGAATTCAAAGCCAGCCTAATCTAAAAGAACTAGTTCCAGGACAGGCTCCAAAGCTACAGAGAAACCCTGTCTCGAAAACCCAGGAGAAAAAAAAAATCCAGGGAAAAAAAAGGATGTCTATATCTATATTTGGATATGTCTTACTTACTTTTGGAAAAGCCCACATCCACACTCTGAGGGGAATGTCTTTTTCTCCTAACACTTATACTTCAATTTTATTAAAATATCTTTAAAATCAACAAGATAGGTGAGTGGGTAAGACACTTGCCATATAAGCTCAAGTTTATTCTCTAGAATCAACATAAAAGCAGAACCAATTCTAAAGTTTATTCTCTGACCTCTACAGGCATGCAATGACACATGTACATATATGTGCATGCATGCACATACCCATATACACATACTTTATTTAAAAAAATAACTAAACTCTTCAGTTCTGTTTATCATATCAGCTAGGCCTGGAATTCTTTTCTGCATCAAAGTTAAGAATCACAACTGAACCTAAGTCAAGGTCCTTTAAAAGCTTAGGGAAACTAACTCTGCAGAGGGTGACATCATGGAGCTGGGTCTGTGTCATCACCACTGCTAGTTCCAGAGGAAACTACGGTTACCTCAAATTTTGGTACCCCAGGACAACTGAAGGAACCAAAAGTCCTCTCTTTTCCCCCACAGAACAGCTTATCATTAGCACTATATCAAATAATTCTGAAAGTGGTAGGAGAAACAAAATTAAACAGAATCTACTTGTGAGCCAACAGTTAACCTCAAATATGTCTTTAAGAAAAAGACCACATTGGACCAGTTGTGGTAAAACCAAGGGAATTTGAGATAGGATTATGAATGAGACCAGCCTAGGTTATTAATGAGACC